ATATTTTTTTTATGATATGATAATATAAACAAATCTATACTTAACTTTGACAAATAAAACAAATAAATACTTTAGTAAGTATTTAATGTATATACTAAATAGGAATATATTTGGTATAATCAAATACCAAATATAATCAAATAAGTCAAAGTGTACAATTTTATTTGGTATTTGATTTTTTTATTATTAAAATCTTTTTATTACACTTACCTTTTTAAATAAAACAAATAAATAAATCAATTAAATAAATAAAATATTATAATACCAAAATAGTAATGACATTTAATGCAGTTGACTTTTCTGGATAGTAAATGTAGTAAATAGAATCTCCTTTTATATAAGTATAGATATGATATTATATTATGTTGCTCAAAATAGCAATGCATTTATTGCATTGACTTTTCAACTTACTAAATTTCGTAAATGGTACACCTTATTATATAAGTATAGATATCAAATGATTTCATCTACTGCCATAATTTATTCGAATTGGATAGTACAATTTAATTGAGTCCAATAGTGACCTTATTGAGTTGAACTCTCAGCTCGTCAAAAATATATAAATGCTCAATGTTGGCTCAAGAACGAATTGAAATGTCCAAAATTAGCTTGAATTTTCAATTAAAATAATCTAAAATTTTTGTTTTAAATTTTTCTTGAGTTAGGGATATTTCAATAAATTACACTTTTACAATAAATTACACTTTTACTAGAGCTGCTCGTCGCACGCTCAAACTTATATCATACATGTTTGAGCTCGACTCGTGCTCAGTCAAACTCGAGCTTCAACTCAAAGCGCTCACGATCCACCCGATTCATTTGCAATCCTGGTCTTAATTGGAATAGAATAGCCGAATTTATTAGACAAATTGATTATATTAGTTGGGATGATATTCTAGGTCTTTTTTTTTTTAACTTTTTATTATTTTTTTGTTTGCAAAGCATCCATACTTGTCCTAAAAACACTAAAACTGAGATGATTGGATTTAGGTTCATTATCTCGATTCAAATTAATCACATGTCAAATTGGAATTTTCCTCACTAATTTTGGGTGGCTCCTTGTTGGGAGCTCACATTTTGGGCCGCACTAAAAGTTCCTAGAAAAAGTCCATAACAAGTTGTCCATCCAACCCATAGTGCATATGAGCCCAATTACTCGCCCCACATTGTGTATAAGCCCGGTCGTTAGCACTCCACAAGCACTTGGATTTATAAGATTTTTGTCAGGTGTATTTTGTTTTGTAATTTATTTTGCAATGCATATTTGTTTTGTGCATAATGGAACTTGTACTCAACTAAGGTGGGGAAAAATAAACAATAGGACAAACAAAAATCTTATAGTACATAAAAATGCTCACAGTGGTAGGTGAACAATTCCTTATAACTAATAAATATAAATAACAGAAATACAAAATATGCAGACTACATTAAGACTTTTCTTTAGAGTGATTTCTAGAAACATTTTATTTAGATTTTAAATTATTTTTTGTAAGATAAGGTCTAGTATTAGAATTTATTTTTTTTGAAAAAAAAAAAGTGATTAGGGTGATTATAGTAACAAAAGCTGTCATGGGCCGATTGAGTCAATTGTGATTGATTGAATCAATGGCAGTTGGGTAGTGTTCTATATTAATTGACTTAACCTACACGGTCAACTTTTCTTACTTGTTTATAAATATATATATTTATATGACAACATATCATATTTTTATTTACATTATTTTTTTAAGAGTATGATATTTCATTTACTAGTATTCACATTCATATTTATTGAAAAATTATAATTATTTAACTATTAAATTTGTCGAAACATTCATTTAAAATATTTCTTTTTAGCAAGAAAAAAAAGTAAAATAAACGAAAACACAACCAACTAAGATATTTTAATTTTTAAAAGTGAACTTTCATTATCAATAGCTATTTTTAATATGGGAATAAAACTGGCCAATGTGTGGTGCCAACGGTGAAGGAATCGGATTTCTTTTTCAAAGCTTTGGACACTTTGTACGCAACAATGAAACTTTGGCTTAATTAAGTTCATTGAAATCAAAATAAACATACAAATACAATATATACCAAATTCATTTGTTTATTTATTTGTAGGATTTATTTACTTTATTGAAGGATGAGATCACAAGACACCCGCAAAAGCACAACTGCGTTTTGCCAATGAATCCCGTGGACTTTCTTTTTGTATATATCACAACTAAAATATAAAGAAGGAAAAAAGACACTAATTTTTTTTATTCGCTGCACCGCCAAACGTTTTATTTCCTTTCACACACCACACCTCAAACAAAAAGACAAAAATAAAAATAAAAGAACAAAATTATCTAAATTTGTTATTGATTTCATAAATTTGTTGAATATACGGTGGATTTTATTCTCGTGCCTGGTTTTCAAACTGTCAATCAACACACATCTGCCTGATTTTGTGACTTGTGAGCAGTGCCCACAACCGTCGGATCGAATTTTGGGGCCACATTATTTTTTCCCATTTACGTAAATTATATAAAAGAAAAAATTGTTGGAAAGTAGCACAACTCTTTTCCTGCCTTAATAACCCCAACACACTTGCAAACATGTCTTAATTCTTATAGCTATGTTTGTAATGAACGAATGACCTACCTCTATTTCTATAAATACTTTTCCCTATTTTAAAAATAAATAAATAAATAAATAATTATATCAAGAAATAATCTCAAAATGATAAATAAAAACAAACATACAAACAAAGACCAATTGTCACTCAGGCCAATTCAGGTAGAATACATAGAAGAAAATTTACTCATAGAAATATGAAGAATTCCACAAAAAAGAAAGGAAAAATAAAAATAAAAATGCAGTATAAAGCCCAAAGATTACAGTCTGAATGACTAAATTAGTCGCTAGTGGGCCGACAACATTGGGTCATCTCATGCTTAGGGAATACGTCAGTCGAGCTTGTATTACTATTATTATTATTATTAATTAATATTTTTTGGGCACTTTTTTGTCATTTTCTTGGTTCCCACTCTCAACATTTCCCCTTTTCTCAACACAAATTCGAGCTTAATGGTTAGGCGAATCAACCTTACATATTTTTTAACAGAAACTGATATTTATACTATGAAATCTCTAACTTTTAATTATTTTATTTGAAATATGACAATTTCTTCCAAAAGTATGTATATGTGTTTGAAAAAGTATAACACTTTCTAAAACCAAACTAGCAGAATTTGAGTCCCGTTTTCATATTCACACATCATATGAAAATGATCCAAAAATGTGAAGCCCAATTAAACAATAATATGTCTCAAAATAAAACCAAACTCAAAATTGATTATGAGCCACATACATAAGACAAAAAACACAGTTGAAATATGATAATCCTTCTTCAAACTTTTTTTCTTTTTCAAGGGAGAATAATATTGATTGAACAGAGTACATTTCCACCACACCCAAGTAATCATCATCATCAAATCACACAGTTCTGAAAAATAAGGAATTAACAGCTAAAACGGAAAAAAAAATTAAAAAAAAAGAGATAAAAATTAAAAGAGGGTAACAAAAAATGTGGATATTATTATATGAAGGAATAAAATCATCAAATGTAGTACACCAAATTAAAAATTTCCAGAAAATAAAAAAATAAAAAATAAAAAATCAGTCACTGGACGATTTTACCGGCGAACAAATCGAACGGCGCCCACAGCAAGTCGAGCGGGCACGGCTGCTTCGAGTCGAGCCGTAGCCACGGCTTGCCGCTGCCGCTCCAGTGCAGCAGGCTCACTGGACCCGCGTGGAGATCCCTACAGCTTCCCTTCACGTTGTCCCCGCCCAGCCCGTGCTGGTTCCACCTGTGCTCGATCGGCGCCACGTGTCCGGCAAACACCAGCAAAAACGGTGGCAGAGAGCCCAGCTCGTAGATCCTCCGGCCAGCGCTCGTTTTCTGTGTCTCCATCCACGACTCGATGCGCCTCGTGTACTCGTGCCGCCTCCATTTCTCCAAATCGACCACCATCACGCCCGTGTTGAAGTAGCACGGCCTCCGGCCGTCGAACACGCCGGAAAACCTCTGGTCCGACCAGAAGTGCTCCGTGAAGTATTTCGTGAAGTTGGCGTGGCAGTACTCCGGGGCGCCGATTGTTTTCGAGCCTAGGCTCGTCCGCCATAGCTTGGACACGTCGTCGACCACGACGAGGTCCGAGTCAAGGTAGATGACTCGGGTCACGCAGGCTTCGAGGAGGTCGGCTAGGTAGTTTCTGGCGTAGTTCAATGGCTGCTCGAGCGCCTGCCTGACGGAGGTCGAAATCAGGCTCCGGACTCGCTCGGGGTCGAAGTAATACACTTTGAATTTCAATTCGGGGAAGGTGGATCGAACTAGGGTTTCGAGACCGGGCTCAGAGACCAGGAGATGGAAGAACACGCTTTCCGGGCACTTGGAGTGCTGGAGAATGGAATGTACGGCGGCGATTGAGCCGCGCAGGTACTCGACGTCGAGGGTAATCGCGACGTGGACGAGGGACGGGTCGCAGACGCCGGATTTTTCGAATTTCGACGGCGGCCGGCATTCGCCGCCATTGCGGAAAACGGGAGATCTCCGGAAGGAGAATTTGTCGGCGCGCGGGGACGACGGTAGCCGGAGATAAGGGTCGACGTGGGAGGATCTGATGGCCTCCGCTGGGTGGAAGGATTGGAGGGAAGGGGAGAGGACCACCATCACCATTGCCGCCGAGATAAACCCCGAGAATCTCATCACCCACAACATTTTCCGTTCCTCTGGTAGAGGAATTTGTGCCTTTTTCGCCTCGATTGGAAACTGAAACAAATTAGGGTTCCTCTGAGATAAATTTGCGGATCTATTTTGAAGAAAATTCCAAAACAAAATCCAAATTGGGGCAAATTTGTGCTTTGCTGTTAGGGTGATTTTTCTTTTTTTCCTTTTCTCTCTAATGGTGTGCCGTGGGAATAAAGCGACTTTCCATCAGAGAGGGAAAAAAGAAATTGCTGAAAAGGAAAATTAAAATTTCAATCCATGAACAGAAATGGAAGCACAGAGGAGGAAGTGGCAATTGGAATATGGGCGAGTGGTTAACACGCGCCGACGTGCGCTACAGTCACTCAAAACTCAGTCACCTATACAAACACAACAAACACGCACTTTCTCTCCTCTCTTCTTTGGGGAAGAAGATGAACAGACTGTAGAGAGCGATAAGGATTTTTAGGAGGGTTTTCTATTTAATTGCCTTTTGTTCTGTTTTGAAAGGCTTTTCTTGTTTGAGTTTTTCCACCATGGAAAATTGGAAATTCTGGACCAATTTTTTTATTTATAACTAAAAAGGCTAATACCACTTAAAGATAATTGTATAATATTAAAAAAAAATTAGGATATCTATCTACTATATAATTAAGCAACTCCCTTGTTATTTTTAGAAAGTTTTATGTAGGTCCTGCAACACTCTTACTATTTTTAGAAAGTTCTCACATTGTTTGACAAGAGTTCATATTTATATTAATATTAACTGCCTCAACGAATATTTATTTAATTTACTGATAACTATTAAAGATCCCTTACTTAATGATTTTACCCGTGTTAATCAGTTGTGACTCATTTTTTAATACAAACAATTAAAAGTACGGGATGTTTGTACTTCACATATATTTTTATAAAATTTTATTTTATTTTTTATTAAAGATCTTAGTTTAAATTATTTATCTAATTTTCATAATTTATACTTTACAAATTAACATAATTATAAGTGTTCGTATGCTTCTTGACTGAATTTTATAAATTTTTTGATCTTAAAGTTTGTACATAAAAATAAAATCTAATAGTAGTTAAATTAGATATAAATATATTAAAAACATGCGCACTCAAACATTCTTCATAATAAATAAATAAATAAATAACATCATGTTTGTAGAATATTTTTTGATTCATTTTCCACAACGAGTTGAAAAATCCAAAACATATGATCATGATTAAATTAATCTACTAAACAAATAGTATTACATATATGCAATATATGTAATAAATATTAGATTACATAATATAAAAAATATTTCGTAAATACCTTTTGTATTTATTAGTAATATCACGATAACATAAAGTTATGATTTAAGTGTTAAAGGGTAGCTATTTAATTATTTTAGACTTATAACTTTATGTATGTTCATAAAATATTTTGTTTTTTAATACGTAAATAAGTCAAACATACTTAACAATGCTAAACAAAGTTCAAAACGATCATAAGATTTTTATTTTAAAAAAAAAATATTAACACAGTAACACGTCTAATATATAGAAGTTAAAAATACACACGTAAAACCATGAAAGTCAGTTTGAAAGTTAAAGCCATATTGAAGTTAAAAATACACATGTTTGGAAGTTACATTGTTAATGGTTGAATAGTTACCTTGCACGTTAGTATTTTTTTTATTTATCAAGTAAGATGTATTTCTTTATTTATCAAGTAAGATATATACGTTGTAGTTAATAAATACGATTATTCATTTATGTACTATCACATTCACATTCTTCCACATCTTATTCAAACAATTGCTTACACACCGAGGTATAAAAAACAGAATACATAATATAAAGATTATTTTGTAAATATCTTTTGTATTTATTATTTATATCACGATAACATAAAATTATGATTTAAGTGTTAAATGGTAGGTATTTAATTATTTTAGACTTATAAATCTATGTATATTCATAAAATATTTTATTTTTTAATACATAAATCAGTCAAACATACTTAACAACACTAAACAAAGTCCAAATAAAATATGATAATTATGTTTTTATTTTATTTTTTAAAAAAATATCGACCCAACGCATGTCTGAAGTTAAAAATACACACATAAGACCATGAAAGTCAGTTTTGAACTTAAAGTAGTTAAAAATACACACGTTTGGAAGTTACACTAAAATACACACCTTTGGAAGTTACATTGTTAGTGGTTTGAATAGTTACCTTGCATTTTATTTAGTAAATATACGTTGTAGTTTATAAATACGCAATTGATTGATTATTCATCTATGTAATATCATTTTTCCACATCTCTTTCACATCTTATTCAAACAATTGCATACACACAGAGGTATAAAAAGCAGAATGGAGTATCAAAGTCCGTGTGATGTGATGTTACGAAAGGATTGCTCTCAAGATGGAAATACCGTTCTCTGAGAATTGATGCTCCATGACTCCGAGGTGATTCTTTTAAGACATTTTTGTTTATAAATTTAGTTATTATACATATGCTATTTAATTTTGTTTCCTAATATTTGTGTTTTTAACGTTTTATAGGGATATATAATTCATGCCTCAATAAAAAAAAAAAGTCACGTAAATTTGTTCAAACGTTTCATCACAGACGGTGGAGTCATTGGTATCCACATTTTATTATAGCACCAAATGGCGGTAGATATAAAACTACTATGGCAAGATTCAAAATAAATTTTATGGTGAAACTACTATGATAATTATATATTATGCATATCAAAAATAAAATATATATTTTAGTTATTAAGGATTAATTTCGATGATTGTTATCTCTAAAGAACTTTGTATTTACAACTCTGTATTAATGCACGACCAATTTTATGTCGTTGTTTCATGAGTTACAAATGAGAAAGGATTGAAAATATTAATTTGTAACGATAAAAACAGCTCAAAGACAAAGTACGATGTATATAAAAAAGTGTTCAATAATATTTAATCGTTATGCATCTGTATGAATTGCAAATGCTCTTTTAATGATTTTTTTCGTAGTTCCCGTACATTTGCACGGGCAACTGTACTAGTTTATATAAATGCCAGCTGTGGTCTCGAGCGGCTAGGACAAAAGCCTCCGAACACGTCCACAAACTCTATGCACGCTTTTGCAAACATAATAGTCGATTCATGGTTGAAATTGATTAAACAAATCAATTTAGTTTGTTATTCATAACACTTTAAATATAGCATACTAAGTTGACAATGTAGCATTTCATTAAAAATAAAGGTTTTCTTAAAACGTATTTGAGGGATTAATGTCGATCATTTAAATTAAGAAATTCATAATTTTGTCAAGAATAATAGTCTTTATATAAGCCTCATACATATATTTTTTAAATCATGTTGTGTGAGGAATAATGTTCAATAATTGGCAGATAGATTACAATAGTGTTGGCACAACAAAATACAATAAATTGTGGGTAGATAGAAGTTAACACTTAGTTATATTTTTTTAAAATATATATGTATATTTTATAAGTTAAAATATTTTATCTTAGAAAATAACATAACTAGAAGTATATAGTTTAAAGTCGTATTTTAATTCATTATTTACCTCTTGATATGTACTGAATAGTATGGACATTTTTAATCAAGTAAATATAGTGTTTTCAGTAGTAAGAGTACAACTAAAATACGACCATCATGAAAATACTTTAGATTGTGTTTTTTTTTTTTTACTTATAATAGTGATAAATTTAGGTACTTCTAACTAAAAAAACAAGTGAATATACAGTCTAAATCAATAAATGACGTATTTTAATTTCATTACACATATTAGACATGGTACAAAATTTCTTTACATATTGAACACGGGCTAGCCTAGGATTCAAAGCTCCATCTTATATATATATACATATACATATACATATATATATATATATATATATCTTAATGGCCCATTACTATACAACTCCAAAAATGTGGTCCACAGTATTTGCATATCTATTTTTATTGAAAAGTAAATCTATTTTGTCCGTATATTGTCAAAAAATATGCTACTTTAAAAAAAAATAAAAATAATAAAAAAATATGGCATGGATATTATAACTATCAATTTTTAAAAATAATGTAATGGATTAAATAAAATAATATTTTCAAAAATGTCTCATAGTAATTCATATGAAAAAAAAGTATTGTTAAATTCTATGAAGATAGTGAATGAGTGCATAAGAAATAATCCATGATTTGATATATTGATAGATATATAAATATTAATTTTAAGATACGTAAATTAATGACATCATAAATAGTGTCATTTGATAGTTCATAGGAAAATTGTGTCTAACAAATCTTTATTTCTTTCTTTATTTTCTTTATCACACAAAAATTAGAAGGCAGTAGTGCATGTTATGGGGAGATCCATCCTATAACAAAGTTTCACGGTAAATATTAAGATACTTTATTTCCTTGAAAATGTTTGGTTAATCTCTATTAATGCTTTTATTTACCTTATAAAAAATAGAATAAAATGCAATGTCACTAATTGTATTGAAATTAATAAGCAATTACTAAATGAGTGTAGTCAAGCTGTTCACCGCAGCAGCACACCCAGCCAGTAATATTTGGACACGTTGAGAATCTTAAGCTGTGATGTGTAAATACAAGACAGGTCATGCAGGCGTACAGTGGTCAAAACCAGTGGCTGAATTCAGATTAGATATTTCTCCTTGTGAAATGTGCCACGTGTCGTACAACTCGATATGCTCCACCGTCGCCAGCCTGGTCTCCACCACATATGATCATATGATTATTTACGTTTTTCATTTATGTATTATGTATGTGGCAATTAGATTAATGTTCACCCAAAATTTATTATGAAATAAATATTATAAAATTATTATTTCCATCACAACTTTCTGGACTATTTCCATCACAACTTTCTGTACTATATCACTAGCATAATTATAGCTATTAATCGTATGAATTAATGCTATATTATTATTATAAACATCAACTTAAATCACGTACGGTATTTATTTTT